CCCTTCTTGTATTCAAACAGCATTACATGCCAAGTGTGTTGCATTATGTGCCATCACTATAAGAGATTAGAGTATACTAAACTTTACACATTATATAGGCTATACTAACGTGACATTTAGGCAGTTCTTTTAACTATTATTTGTGATGTACATTTTTGGTGGGTGGATAATGAAAGTGTTCCAAAATGCATCATTAATTTCTTGACGACCTAATATATGAATGATAAGGGCTGGCTTTGAGTGTTTCATTTTTATAGTTTAGTACAGTGGGTTACGATGGCTTAGATGTACCAACAAATCCATTGTTGTCATTAAAAAAGAAAATGTCACATTTTGTTTCAGGCTTTCGTTCTACTTCCATTTGTACCTTTGGCTAGCATTGGGTTTTTGACTGAATTAATGAAAGCTTCCTCTTTGTTACTTTTGGCCTCTGGTTTTTGTCACTTTGACTTGTATATTGTTGATTCCTCTTGGACTCTTTTCATATTAGATGTCTTATGGCCATTCCCTGACCATTTTTTTTCCAATTGACTTGCATCTGAAGAAGATATTATTATGTTTTCTCCTATTCTCCACCTTTTATTTTCACTGGGGTATATGCTTTTGCTCAGAAAAATTACTCTGTCCATTCTAGGTGCTCCATTGTTATCTAACCTTGTCTTAACCTAGCTTGTCATTATAATTTTTCTGCTCTCTTTATCCACAGGAACTCTTATCACATGACTGATCTGTCATGCGTCATTCATGGGATAAAGCTTCTTGTTTGCAAAATCTATGTGGATCTTGCTGTTAGGTTGTGACATGTTTTCAGAATCAGATTATATCACAATTGCTACCTGTTAATGTCTTTGATTTTGGCTTTTCACTTTTATTTGGAGAAGATTGTTAGAGCTGATGTGGAAACACTGAGTACATTATCAATCTGTTATTAACACTGTTACAACCTTCAGTAGTGATCTTACAGATGTTTTGAATGATTGAATGATGGGCCATAGTATGTTACTGCAAAAGGAAAAGACAAAGTTGTGGTACCTGATAAGATTCCTGCATACATGTTAGACTATAATTACTCTTGTGAGTGGCCATACCTGGATATTTTACTTTATGTGGCTGTATTTTGCTTTGGTGAAGAAGCTCTTATTCAGAATCTATAACTTGCCTCATAATTGGATGTTCCCTTAAGGTTAATTGTTCTACATCCTTTAAATGAGGAAAGCCAGGTGCCCTTGCCCTGCAGTATTTGAAGATAGAAAGTAATACATAATGATGAATAATGTTATTAGTTTTTCTTTTTTTTTTGCTTGTGTACAGAATTTTCAGTAAGCAGGTCAATGTTGTACTATATAAAAAAAACTTTAAAACTGACTTTTCAGTCAGGTGAAAGTAATATCACATGCTATCACCTTATTAAAGTTTGAAGTGGATATGTAAATATTGTAGATATAAAGAATTCTCAAACATACACATTGATTTGTTAATCACCATATTTGCACCTGAAACATGTTTGATCAATAATTTTAAAAATTTAATATACACATGTTTGAAAGTTCTTGAAATTGAGAATGGAATTTTAAGGGCTTGAAAGTGCTTGAAAAGGGGCTTTTTCTTTTTTTTTGCAAAAGGACTTGAAAATATTATAATATATGTAAATATAATAGTACTGTCTGTTGTCTGTCCATGTAACTAATTCACAGGGTGTGGACGGATCTTCACCAAAAATTGGTTTGGAGGCTCATTAGGTCCATGCAGGAGAACATACAATTTTCAGTTATGCATTTTGCAGTTTTTATGGACATTTTTGCATTTTTTACCACTAATTTGCTCCCTGTAGATGGATCTTCACCAAATTTAGTGTGAAGGTTTGCAAGTTTGCATGTGGGAGATACATGCAAACTTGCAGTTTCACACTTTGTGTTTTGCAGTTTTCATTGGCTTTTTGCATTTTATTAATTACATATAAGGGAAGCAACTTTTCAAGCACTAAGATAACCTTTCATTAATCATGAATTTACATAACTTCTGTCTAGGGGACATGTACTCCAGCTAGTAGCAGAATACATCGATATATCTAACTTTAATGCATGTGGCAGAGTTGAGGGCAATAAATAAAGCCTTTCTTTTTTATTCTACATTCATAAGTTGAACAAATGAATAGGAATTTTATAAAATTTCAGTGGAATCTAATTGATTTTGATATAGATTTTAGCTTCTAAAAAGTACTTGAAAAACATTCTGAGGGTGCTTATAAAGTTCTTGAAAGTGGTTGAAATTGATCTGAGTAATTCAGTATGAACCATGTAACTTATCTCATTGCTACAATAGATGAAGTGTAGGATCATCCCCACAAGTTTGTTTTCTTTGGCAAATTATAGACAAAGATGAAGGTAAATTCATGTACTGAGGTCAGAAAATCCTTTACCATTTTATAAAATGGTAGTATTGTTGGCAAAATGTGAATCACATTTGTCTTGATCTGTTGTATGTTATAACAGATGTATCAAATTCTAGTAATGGACCTGTTCCATTTATTCTTTTTTGTTGGAAATATTTAGATTTGATATCTCAGTTTTATATCATTTCATTCAAATTTAGAGTAATAGTTTCTGATTAGACACTTTTGGTAAAAAGTAGTACCAGTTACTGATGCATGTTTATTTATTAAGGTATAGTTAATGACTGACTACTGTGCAGAAAATCATGTATTAGTTAATTAAAAATCTTTTATAATGTAAAATGTTCAAGATACTAATTAAAACATTGAATAAGTGACCAAAAGAAGTTTTAGCTATAACGAATTTATAGTTAGCTTTTTAAGTTTTAGACACAAACATTTCAGCATAAAAAATTCACTCTGCGGGTAAAAAGAGTAAAATTTCATATTTTCCTATGACAATGTATGGTTGTTTTAATAAATACTGGCTGTTTATTTTGACCTTGATCATCTTTCTTAAATACAGATTCCATACCTAACCTATGTAAATAATTTTAACACATTAAAGCTGTTATCAATTGAATGCTGTATCTTATATGCCATAATTTCCATTGTGAAGAGTTTTTAAATATTTATAAAGCTATGTGAATATTCTTGGTTCCACCCAATTCTTTGATTGATTAATTAATCTTAAGATAATTTCAACCTTAATTTATTGGTGAATATGGTTGCAAGTGGAAAAAGAATGTTTTCATTTGAATTGTTTAACAATTGTATTACAATAAAAAAGTGCATACATTTGTAAAAAAACTATAGTCCATATATCAGATTGTTGACATTTTTGTTAAATATGTTTTATTTGGTTAAGAGTTCTTTGGTGAAAGATGTCCTTCAAGAACAAGAAGAGAATAGCAGACTTATTGCAGCTATCTGTGCAGGTAGGGTGGTTTATTATTACAGTAAAGTAGGATAAAAGAAAATGTTAACTTGTGAATTTGCCAGATCTTTTCAGTTACACTTTATTCAAAGCTTTTGGAGATCCTGTCAAATTTCTGATTATTAGATGTACATTACAATCTTAAAGCTACATAATGAGCTATCTGCTCTTTGCCCACCTCAAGGATTAAACTTGGCATTTTAGAGCTGTAAGCCCCCAAGCTTAGCACTGAACCATCAGGTTGCATCTCAAGACTAATGTTAGCTAAGTTAATAACCCTTGCATGCACACATTACCATCTCCATATGATTTCTACTGAAGAGAGAATATTTATGCCACTAATAAGCACTTTACTATCATTGTGTCTCACT